AGCGGGGCCCCAGCGTCCCCGGGGGCTGCGCTGCCGTGGGGCTGGGTCTCGCTGGTGGGGGCGAAGGCGTCTGTGGTGCAGCCGTGGGGGACAGGGGCACCAGGTTATTGCTGCGAAACGGAGCCATTTTTTGGGATACTGCTGAGAAACGGATCCACATTTGGGTTGTTGCTCAGAGAAATGGATCCATTTTTGGGATATTCCTGAGAAATGGATCAATGTTGGGGTAATTGCTGAGAGAAATGGATCCACATTTGGGATATTGCTGAGAAAGGGATCCACATTTGGGTTATTGCTTAGAGAAACAGATCCATGTTCGGGCTATTGCTGAAAAACAGATCCGTATTTGTTATTGGTCAGAGAAAGGGATCCCTGTCGCAGCAAGGAGCCCATGGGGTCAGGCAGGGGAAGGCACGAATTGGTCCTGAGGGGCTGTGCTGGTGCCAGGAGCACCCCTGGGTGTCCCCCAGCTGCCCTTGCTTTGCATAAGGAGTTAAAATCCCACCGGGGAGAGCAGAGCGGCCGCAGGGGAGGCAGCGTCCCCCAAGAGGGGCAGGGGGGCTCCTGCCTAAGGCACTGCTGGGCTGGGGGAGCGGGGCCTCCCTCGCCGAAAGAGGAAACGTCTGAGACCACGAAGCGCTGCGGCAATGAGGAACTGAGGGCTCTCACAGGACGATCTTGAAGGAGCTGCAAGAGACACCACAGGTCCTGGGCCGCACGCGAGGCCGCAGGGGCTGCGCTTCCCTCTGCTCTCACGGGAGCTGGCACCGGGCAGCCCTGCCCCAGGCACCCCCGGCACGAGCTGACGAGCTGTGCCACCGGAGACCACCACCGTACCTGGCGAAGTCCGGGGAGCGGGACACCACGTGCTGGAACTCGGAGAGGCTGATGGTGCCGTCCTTGTCGATGTCCGACTCCTCCAGGATCTGCAGGGGAGCCAAGGCGAGCGCTGAGCGCTGATCTCTATAGAGCCAGGACCCCGCAGCGGCCCCTGCCCGGCTCCTCACGTTTTGGATGAGCTGCTCCATCTCAGCGTTGCTCAGCCGGGACCCCTCGCCCTGCCCCGTCAGGCAGTTCACCAGCTTCTCCAGGTCCTTCCTGTCCAGAATCCCATCGTCGTCGAAGTCTTGGGGGAGAGGAAAGCTACGGTTCAACCCCAGAGTTAACCCCACAAGCTTTGGGGACACAGCAGGCTCCTCTCGTCATCGTGCCAAACCGTCAATTCCCACTGGGAGTTCATAAAGCCACCATCCCCATGGGTGCTCAGAGGGCACTGCCAGCCCTCCCAAACCCAGGCCCCATCCCTGTCCCCCTCCCCCCCAGAGGTGTAGGGACCCCCGGA